AGTGAAGGAATGGGAGTTACTAACATCTGGAGCCAATAGGAGCAAAGGGAAATGCTCTCTAGTTTGCTAGAGATGGGGCCTGTTGTGGTTACAGAAGTAGGTTTCTATGTTTTCTGCTTAACTCTGGATTGTCGTGGACAGGCAAGTCACCTCATGACATCATTCACTAGTGAGAGAGGTATAGGAAAGAAGATATCAGAAGGAAGTTTAATTCAAGTATATGCAAATACCATCCTTGGGGGCTAAAGCAGGATTTTCCCTCTCAGATTTCATGCCTCTTAGAGCATCCACATACTACTTGGAGCCTTATCCTTCTCTTAAACTCCTATTTTAAATGGGGGTAATGTTTTTGCCTGGAGAACTGAGAATACCTTTTCTCCAGATACAGAGCATCCAATATTCTCCTAATCCGTCCCCACAAAAGCCAAAGAGCACACACACACCCCCCCCAACCAATTGTATTATTAGGAGCTTAGAAGGGAGAAACTAGAAAATTCATACCTATGAGAAGTAAGAATGTATGGCTAGGGTTACCTTCTTCTAAGTAGCTTGTGTAATTTCCCATGTTTGGCAGAAGAAGTTCTTGCCACAAGGAAAGAAATTGCACGCCCTCTACCAGCACATGCCTGCTAGAAACTGTTCATAATGACTAAACCACACTTAGTAGCTTTACTAGCAACATTTTACTAATAGCTTTGGTTCACTAATAGCATAGTCTCTGCTAGGGACGTCTTGCCAACTTCCAAGTATTTGAAGACTTCCATGTTAGATTTTACACTGAGAAGTTTTTAGTGTCAACCTGGCTTAAGATGTCATTCAGAAATCCTGGCTGCTAACTGAGGCTTACTCTTTGTAATAAAAGGCCAAGGCTAGAGCCAAATCTCAGAGGCTAATGGGTTAGAGCCAGACCATGAGTAATTGAGGGTATGTTCTCCATTTATGGCATTGAGTGGCAGCAACTGGCTGTGAAAATGCATTTGTGGGAATCCCAGGGTCCTCAGGCTTTTCAGCAATGAGCCCCTGTGGCTGCTGTTCCTCACCTTCCCCAACCAAGTCCCAGAGTCTGACACCACCACTTGCAGCCTGTCCTTCAGCAGCCAGAAATCAGACCTTTCCTGAAGTCTACCAAATTCAGCCTCAATTCCTGAGCAAAGCCAGCAGGGACCAGCCACACCACCACATGTGAGAGAATTACAGAGAAAAGAACAGCTGCCACATGTTACATTTGAGTACATGCCATGCAGAAACCATCACAGAAAACAAGATGCATTGCGACCTATAGGCTTACCCCTACCCACTCTAACTAATGCAATTCCTCTTCCCTTTCCAGAAGGAAAAAATACCTCATGGGAAGAATTATAGCAGCTTCTGAGTTCCTCATGATCACACAGAATGAGGAATGTCACCAGTTCATTACTAGGGGCCTTGCTTAAGGCCACAGGGAGGTCACAACTATACTCTTGCAATATTAATTATTGGCCTGGGACAGCTATATAGCAGCTTATTGGTTATGCACAAAACGCTTCCATGTGCTGAGCTACTGCAGAGGCTGGCGCTGTGGGTTTTGCTAGACAAACACTGCAGCTCCTAAGAAGTCTGAGTGCTATTCTGATTTCCAATTCCAGCAGCAAACCTTTACCTCTGGAGATGAGCTGGGAGCCTGGCCCAAGGAGCAGCAGCAGGTTTCTTGCTCTCTGAAGGTCTGAGGCCTTTCTTCCTGGAACCCATTTTTAGAACAGGTTTATAAGGTTTATACCCCTTCCTTTCCCCCAGACCGACCACACAAAGGAACTGAAGATGGAGGGAAACAGGAAAAAAGATGGGGACAAGGAAAGAAGCAGCAGGAGAAGCTCCTCGTGCTGTCTTCAACTTCCAGAGCTACTCCGAGCAGAAACCCGAGAAGCAAGCACAACCCATATACAGTAGTGGAAGACATGCAACAAAATATCCAACTGTGTGCTGCTCCAAGAAAGGGAAGGGAAAGTTATCTCTAAAATGCCAAGCATGCAGCATAAATCGTTTACGAGGAGAATACATCTGTAATTACAAGTTATTTTAGCTACCCTGCTGCCAGGAGTAACTAGGAGCAGAAGGAAACGATCAGTGTCATCATCTTGTCCCCCAGGGACCAGCCGATGCTGCCGATACTGCAGCACCCGGGCTGAGTTTTCTTGGTGGAACACCTCCCTCCAGTGGCCAAAGGCAAGTGGTTTCCACAGAGGTCGGGCAGTTGGGGACCCAAGCTGGGGACAGGCAACAGTCCTCACCTTTCCCTCCTTTCTCCTTCCAGCTCCACATCAGGCTGAAGGAGAACCAGCAGCACCCTTCCCCACCTAGCAGCCATCTGGTCAGGTCTGGCAGCTTTGCCATGAAGTGTAGCCCTGTAAATCATTAGCCCTGAGAAAGCATTGCTACCCGATTAAAGCAGGGTGCTCTGGGAAACAAACCAGATAGAGGGGAGATCCCATATGACCAAGAACCAAGTTGTCCTCAAGCACAGCCCAGCACAGCCTAAAGAAACAAGTCGTACTCACAGATCAGACAGTTCATTGCACCCTACTGTGGGTCCAGGATCCATTTAAGCTCCACACTCAGCTGGTCAGGGTAACTGAAGTCTTGACTTTAGACCAGTTGCCACCTGTGTTTACTAGCAGCAACCCAGCATCATCTTCTCTGCAAATTTCACTCTTTCTTCAAAGATGTATGAGGACTTAGGTCATGCTTATTACTTCCGAAAGCAACAGCTCCAGACTCCATTAGTGCACTAACGTAGGCCCTTCTAAGGCCTACGTGGAGCAGGATTCGAAGGAATTTTGATACGCAGTTCATACACACTTCTCAGCTGCTTAGCTAAGGGAAGCAAGAAAATTCATACAGTTGCTCTATCTGCTTCTCAAGAGCTTTTCAAACAGTCAAGCCCAGCGTGTGGTGGCATAACCTACAAAAATGGCTACCTCAGCTTTCTTCCTCCCCACAGTGGCAGGGCAGGGGCTGAGAAGTCTTTAAAATAGCAGCCTTGAGGCAGGAGCCTACTGAAGGTGAGCAGGAAGAGGAAAAAAATAATAAAGCTAAGCTAGCGAGAGCTGTATGGACTGTGGGCATAGCAGCAAGCTTATTTTTTGTCAGTTAGTCCCCGAGGCTTATGACTTCATACAGTGCAGACTGTACAGATTTGAAGTGACATCTTCACATACAGAGATCACTTACCTCAGGAGATAGCAGGTAATTCAAAGGAACTACCATTCAATCAGCTTACCCTAGGACAGACATACTTCATAAAAGAAGGCAAAGTTTACTCTAGAATATAGCCTAGGAAACCGGTCACCTCCCTCTGCTGGGCAGTATCTATCTTCACAGTCCACACTGATCTCGCACATGGGCCTCAGAAGAGCTTTTGACAGACCCTTTGCTACCTTGAACAAACAAGTTGTCAGTGATTTGCATGTAAGCAGAAGGGGGTGACGCACAAGTTGCAGGCAGAGGTTTTTTTTAGCAAAGTCTTTATTACAGAAATATTCACCCTCTAGACTTTTACATCTGTACATGCATTTCTTCCAGTAGGAAGATGTGGCTAAAAACAGACAAAAAAACCCAAAAAGGAAACCCAGCATGGGCTCCTTTTACTTGCTGCTCAGCATTGGCATCTGTAACTGAACAAGAATCTTACAAATAAGAACACATTAGAGAATAGACTTTGTGCTACAAAAGCTAGCAAGCTTTACTGCTAAGAAGGGTGCCTTCTGCTATAGCAAAGGTCAGCTTGAAGGATCTGTGCAGGAGGGGGCATGTGTCTCAAAATAGCAAAGCCTTATCAGACCTCCATAAAAACCAGTTGCCCAGTCATATCTCCTCTCCCCAATCACTGCTGTGTCCAGAGATACGGACAGAGCAGGGACCCACTGCTGGGGCCCTGATCCCCTGCACAAGCCTTTCTTCCCAGAAAGAAAACTGAGTAGGCAGTGAAGCCATCCCTTTGAACTGCTACTAGGGTTATTCCTACCAACCCCACCCCTGACAAGCGACAGTCCTGGGACCACCGCTGTAAGGCAAAGGCTCTCTCACCAAGTACCTTGTATCAGGTCTCAGGCAAGGACCATCCATTTCTCTCTCCTACAGCATCCTACTGTCAGGCTGATTGCACACATGTGCAACTGCAGAAAATCTGTTGTGCCCCAGCCACCTCTAAGACTGAGGATTTGCACCCAGCTCCCTTATCTAAGAAGCTGGGGCAGTTTTTCACATGCATTTCCTACTTTCTTCTGCTCTACACCACTCCTTGCTGTTGGCCACTGGCTGAATAGAGCAAACAGCCCAACCATTAAGTACAGAAACCACCCAGCCTGCATGATTGCAAAACCAGCTACTTATCTGCTGCAGTGCTTACACTCAAGACAGAGCTCAGGATGCGGCCATGGCTCCAGACCACAGTGGAGTCAGAAGACTGGACAACTGAAATAAAAGCAACTTATCCTTGCATCCAAACTACAAAACCTAAACTGGGTACCGGTAGCAGTGATATCTCTAGTATACAGCGTCAGCAATCCAGTCAGATACCTCCATATTCATAATTAAAAACCACAGCTAACAAGTTTTATGTTCATAAAGGGGGCAGTGGAAGAATTAAGTTAATTGTAACCTCTATAAAAGTTGGCAACTCAAGAATGCAACCAGCAGAGCCAGCCTGGGGCTGAGTCGACACTATGCAGCAGTCTCTGAAGCACGTCCAAGCTGACAGGAGCCAGCAAAGCAGTGCTAGGGGGAGAGGAAAAGGTAAAGAGGCAAGTGGGAGAAACATGTTAAGTGTCAAATCCAGACCCAAGGGACCCCTTCCAGCAGCACCTAAGTACCACCACCACAATCTACCAGGCCACACTAGGAACAGGTAAGCTTGGCTCCCTCCCAGTGGCTTCTCATCACGCTCGAAGGGAAGAGCTCCGCTGAACGCAAGGCATAACTGACTCCAGAAGCAGGAGAAGCTAGTATGAGGTTAGCGCTCAGTATTTCAGATGAGAGCCTAGGCTGGAAGATGCATAGCAGGAACGAAATCAGGTTAACTGCAAGGGAGGAGAAGGCCTATAAAGCACTACTAGTTACCACCATAAGTCAGTGAAGTAGGTGAAGCTATCAAAGCACTGGAATCTCAACAGCAATCCTGGCTCATGGGGCAAAGAGATGGGACTTCTGGGGGTAGGGGGAAGATGTGTGGGAGGAGAACGAGGCAGGAGAGGAGTTATTGTATGTTAGGCCCAGTGGGTTGTAGAATGGAGATACAAATAGTATTGTTTAACATGGAGCAGGCAGCAAAAGCATTGTCCCCTCAAATTAATCGGTGTCTCACGTGATACGAGACAGTTAAGTTCTGCTTCTTGAAGTAGAAATAATCCAGAGACAGGATGCAGGTGGCCCAAGGGCCCTATTGCCAGAAGATCCGGCTGTATTGCAGCTCTAACAGTTCTTAGCAGAGTGGTATCAGAAATGGGATGTCACAGGAATAATGGTCAATGGTTGGACAGTCTGGGTACGAGGCAGGAATGTTCTGTTTGCTCCTTTCTCTGTGGTGCTGTAGCTCTCGAGTCAGCCAACTCAAGACTTGGGCACTTTGGTGTAGTCTTCACTGTGTATGTTCTTGCAGAGTGAAATGGACAGTATCATCCCCAGCAGCTGGAATAAATAATGAAGAATGGGAACAAAATCAGCAATGAGACAGATAAGGTGGGAAGAGAGGGTGGTACAGGGAAGTGGAATACAGTGGTCTCCTTTTAATGACACCATACAGGTGAACAGAGTTGGTCCCCAATGCAAGGGAAATGTAATAGTCGGGATGACAAAAATATTTTGCTGCAAAAAGATGTGCCTTCATCTGGAATCTATATTATGAACTTTTCAAGGCAACAAGTGGGATCTCACTAGTGGGATGTTGCTTCTCTCTTTCTTTCTGGTTACGCATGCAGTGAATTGCCAAGCAGTAGACACAGCAGCAGGAACCACAAGTAGACAGGGCTTCGTTCAATTTTTAATCCAACCAATGAAAGCAGCAGTTCAAAGCTCCCGGTAGACACAACCAAAAGCTAGAACTGCACTGCTATTAAACGAGGTGTCTATTACTTGAACAGATAGCTTTACCTTTAAAAGACTCTGCATGGTAAGACAGTACAGGTTCACATCAGGGAGTGACTTACCTCTATAACAGCAACACCAGTGCAGACCCCAAGAATGACACCAAGGTTGTCCTTCAACCACTTCTCTACACCATCCATGCATCCCTATGGAGAAAACATGGTCACAAGGGAAAGAAGCACAAGTCTAAGTATCTCAAGACTGAAAATCCATGACATCTCCTTGTGCATGCAGAGATTATCCCAGTTACATGCTATACCAAGTTTCACAGTAGCTTTAGCAGAAAAGGGCAGGATCCTTGTTGCCCCTTGCCTCCATTTCCACAGGTATGTCAAGCAATACTGGTTTTAAAAAAGTGCTCTAAATAATTCCCAGAGGAACAAAGACAAGGTGACTTCAGCGGAAGCTTCACAAAGCCCAGACATTGCCACTCACCTGCTCATGAACAGGCCAGTCAGCATACGTTGCAGTGCCGTTGACAGGGACATCCAGATTACAGAAACGGCTCTCTGCCTGAATGTCCTTGGAGCTATTAGAGCAGGAGCAGGGGTACAGTGTCATGCTTTGGTTGATAAGAATCTTATTATTTTCCCAGTCCTTTGCTCCAGTCCAGCCACAGCAGCTGATCTAAGAAGCAGAGAGATATTGTCATGGTCTTACACTTTGCACTGGTAACATACTGCACGTGAAAACAGGCAGTGGAGGTAGAAGTACATAGGAGCTCTCCATGTAATAACAACAGTCAGGCCATACATGTTGCATGAATTAGTTATATTAGAACATCACCCTGGTTACCAGAGGATAACCTATCCATAGGGCCATTCAGAAGACAAGGGCATTATTTCCTACCAAAGAATCACTGCTAGCAAGACAAGAGTTAAAGGGCCACTGCTGGCAGACTTTGAGCATAGTAGACTATAATATGCACAGGCCATCCATAAAGTTCTAGCACACTAGTCATGCTAGAATATGAATCCTTCACAAGCCTTACTGCATGAGGCCTAGATACTCAGATTTCAGCAGGCCATGCAGCTTGACATCAATTCTATAGAGTATAATTTTGATTAGTTTTTGCAGACTCAATACTAGCAAACCTCATCTTATCTCCAGGTGACAATGCTAAACAGGAGTAAAGTGCAAAACAGATGTTGCTGGTGGGTCAGCTGGAGGAGGGCTGTTGTCCTGTGTGACACATCAGAGATTTTTCCAGTCCCTCCAGTTCATTGTCAGCAGATTGATTTGGTAAGGGAGAAGCAAGGCAGGCAAGAGATTAATGTGTTGACAAGACATCCCATGTATTCAAAGACATCTCAAAAGGATTACTACCTAGTCTTCCACTAGCGATGCCATTTCCATAGGTTCAAATGCTAAGACTTTACTTTTTCTTTCAGTAGGACACATTTTTTGAGCAGACATGAAGCAGGAACTTATCATTTTCTGGTTCCCAATTGCAAGGTACCACTGATCTTAGCTGTGGCCCCCGGGGGACACCAGCAGCCACCACACGATGGCGTCGACATGCCACCGAGCCCCAGCAAGTCACAACGAGTTGACACTCGCCTGGCTACAGTTGGGACTGGCTGGAAGATGGGATGAGGAAAGTTTTCCATCCGAAGAAACATTTACATTCCTATACAGCCACGTGATAAAACTGCAGTTGCTGGAGGGGAAAGCACATCGGGAAGTCCAGGAAAGACTAAGATCTGTCTTAAGCATGGATCCCAGTGCTTGCACGGTGGTACAGAACAGAAAGGCTACCAAGCTTGAGGTGGAAGTTTAGGGAAAATCCCCCTCTGCTCAGAAAGGAAATGTAACGTTTCAGTCTGACATAACAGACATGAGAGCAGAGGTACAAACAGCTGAACACCCACACCAGGACAAGCATTTGGTTTCCAAACAAGTGTTGTAGTTCCTTCTGGAGGCTGGATCTTCCTCTGACTCACAGAGGTTTGGACTTCAATTGCAAGACTAGTCTACAGAACAGCCGCCCCCTTTCAAATGCTAACTCTAGTGTATGAGAGGAATTAGACTCCTAATACTTAACTTCACCTCTACAAAGCCTTCTTCTCTTCTTACATAAAACAAGGGCTCAAGCAGGATCCTCTTTTCACAGTATACTCAGCCTTGTCTTGAGTCCACTAGCAAGGAGATACAGCTACACTGATAAAACATAAATAAATCATTCTCCCTCCAAGGAGAAGAAATATTGCAAGTCAGTGTTTTGGAGGCCCAAGAACAGACAGAAGAAAAATGCTATTACTTGTACTTACTACACACCAGTCCCAGGCTGGGCATGTATTTAACCACAAGGGCCAGACAGCTCTCAAGGCTGTGGTTTGGCAGTAAACAGCTATCTGAGTCCAGTATGCCTGAACACTGACCTAGTTGCTCAAGCGCTGACCCTGATGCTAAAACAGAAACCACGGGCAGCTGGATGGCTCCCAAGAACGCTAACACTTGCAGAAGAGCCATCACAATAAGCAAGCAACACACACCAAGTAGCAAGGCAGTGCTGCTAACTTGCCTGGCAATAAGCTAGGGACTTTACTTGCTACAAAAATAGTATGCACTGTGGTTTTCACACATGCTAGTATTCTGGAGGCCCTGCAGGCAAAGAGAATTGTTGAGGTGCCATTTGATAGGCCAGATACATTAGGCTATGAAGCCAATACTAGCTAGTCCTAACAGCCAGCATGCAGGAACGGTTCAGGGTCTTAGCTAGTAATAACAAGTAAGATTGTTTTCTCGTATGCAGGCACTAAACCTCACAGGGAACTTTGTAATCAGCCAAATCAATGTGCTACAGTATTGCCTCTTGCAATACCTGGTTCCCTGTCCTCAGCCTAGTTTTAAAGGCCATTTACTGCGTTGACAAATAGCATCACTGCCTCTGGCTGCCTCTCATGACTCACCTGTGTTTGCACATAGTCCCACGCATCTTGTAAGTTCCTGTCATCATTGTTCCACGGGTCATAATTTTCAATCAGACTTCCAACTATGCGGGACAACTCTTCTTTCAGCTGGCAAGGAAAAAAAGGCAGGAGAGTTAGATTAGTTAATTCCTTGTAGCCTCTTCTTTGGGGCTTTAGGGTACATAACACCCCTCCCTATCACCTGTGTTAGTCCTGCTGTGGGTTCACCTTTCCCACAGTGGAGAAAAACAGGGGCTCGTCATCGTCACGAGTGTGAAAACATTTTGCTTTGCTCTAGCTCCAGTGAATGAGGCTACAGCAGAGAAACTGCAGATAGAGATTACAAGTGCTGCAAAAAAATGGAATGGGCAGTAGTTTCCGCTTAGACCTTCTCCAAAGGATCTGATGGAAACAGTAATAGGTGCTTCGGCTATCACACTCCCACAATACAGCTATTTTTAAGTTACAACAAAAAGACAGATAGAACCATGACTAAAGTCATTGGAAAATGAGCATTTAATTGGCACACAAAGCAATGCTTAAAGGGGAAAAAAAAACCACCAACAAAAAAACCATACCACAACCAACCAGGCAGTGACAAATCCCCCGGACTGACCTTCAAATACCTTACTCTGCAGTCTTGTCTGTGCTTTTGAGAAGAGGCAATAAATATGATCAACAGGATGAAATACAGAATAGGTTTACCAAGATAAAGTCCCACTATGATGACCAGGTGGCATTTCTTGGTAAGAAATTTTTTTTCCAGGCAGGAGTAAACACAACAAATCCACCCTAGCTTTGCACAGCCTGCTGCTGTGTAAGAAGGAAGTTATTCTAGAGAAAATGAGTTAATTCTAGGTCCCCATTTCCTCCACCAATCAGTTTCTTCTCAAGCTTTTTAAGCAGATGGGAGACTGCTACTCAGGTTCCTCAGAAGGTGAGGCTTGGAATAAATTCCTTTGCTTACTGAGTACAGCATTATGCTTGTTACAGCATTGATGGGAAGCACATGTGATACACAGAGAAGTTCAGACATCAGACCGAGCAATCATGCATCCCCTTAAGATCAGAGTAGATAGGGAAATAAATTTAACTCACAAGAAACCAAAGTTGTGGAGTCGTAGGCAAATAAGTGTTATAATGTATGGAGGACAGCTGGAGATCTACCACAGAAAAGCTTGGGATGCTTGGTGGCCACAAAACAAACAGACAAACATGCATACATATAGGCTCCGGTGGTCCAGAGTCAGAGAACAGAAACAGTCTTAGTATGCATCAGGAAAATCCTTCCAGGAGAGATGGGAAAATAGTAAAACAATTGTACAAAGCACAAACTACATCTCTTCAGAAGTGTTATATACAGCTTCAGTCACTCAAAAAAAGCTAAGTGCAAAAGGTAACAAGTACAGATAAGCCTCAGACTTGAAGGGAAGGCAAGACACCAGCTTTGCTATGCAATGCAACAGTCAAAGCATCAGTACTTCCCAGCAAGTCTTTGCCCAGGCACACAGAAGGGCTACAAACCTGATGAGCAACAAGAAAACAGAACTGGGCATGGTTATCATGGTAAGACACAGGCTGAACACCTGCTGCCTGCCCCAGACAAGAGAGAGGTGAAAGATAAGGCAATGTTATCCTTCAGCTTGCACTTAAGTACTCACAGGTGAAATACTTCTAACCTTGCACTGCAAGCGAGACTCTGGTCTAGAATCTCAGTCACTGGAGTTCATCTCCACCAGTCAGGGAAGGTCTGAGTCACTCTGCTCCTGTATGCAGCTGGGTTTTCTGACATACAGCTGGTGGAAACTTCCCTTTTTCACAAGGCATTGATCAGCCTCCCCCCAAACTCCTACAACTGCTGCTTTTATATTAAGACAGGAACTGCTACAACTATCTAAGCTGCTCATAAACAGTCTTGTCAAAGCTCAGGTGTAACGAATCATCCTTTCACCCCTATTCCTTATCCAGAGATATTTACAACACCTTTCAGTTTGATGAGAGGTGCAAGCTACCACCCAGCATACTCCTTCACCTTCTTCCTCCCACCTCCTTCTGAGGCTCTTCTCAGCCAGCCTGTACATGAGGACAGCTGTTATTGCTAAGGACAGACCCAGATCACAAGAGGTTGGAGAGAAGTGTCATTAGACTCCTTGAGGATGAGATAGAGTTACATCACCCTGAGCACTAGGATGTTCCCAACCCACGTATTACCTTTTTGTCTGTGGTGCTACAGTGTATTTCAGATCAGTGGAAGTGTTTTTTCCTTTCCTTCTACTATTAAGCATTGCAAATGACCATGGCAAACCCAGGGACACCCAGCAAGAGGAAGCAGTGCCTACTGCTAGAGAGAAGCATCTCTACATCAGCAACTCTTTTTCCTAGGAAAACTGCAGCTCAGCAAACTGGGATCAGCTACGTCAGGCCAGACAGATGGGAGCTGTATGATCTTTCTTCTCATGCTGTCTAGGTCTTCCCCTTTTAATTACTTTGCTTCCCCTTTTCCTTCCCTTCAAATCAAGGCAACCTGACCTGGTTCTCACTAATGAGATTGGCCTTGGCTGCTGCCATAAGCCTTATCAGTTACTGAACCTCTGAGTTCCCACCCTCACCCCTCCCGCACACTGCTGCTCCACATGCACAGAGGGAGGCAAGGAGAGCTGGGTTTGTTGTCCTACCCTGGGCCCATCTGGCCACTTAGCTATTAGGCCAGATGGAGCCTAGGGTCACTTCTGCAAGAATCCCAGGCAGTGCCTCTGTTCTCCACCCCAGGACCCCACCACAAGCAGAGACAGGGCCTGAACCAAATGTCCCCGATCACAGCTGCATAGGGAAGCTGTATCTCTGCTCTTCCTCTACTCTTACACAAGAGGCGGCAAGAAGTCTTACAAACAGCTCTGGTTTCAAGAAGTGAGGCATTTCAGTTAAAGAAAAACTCAGGCATTCTTAGGTGTTTCAGGAAGTAATTGGAGACGGGGGAATATTGCGCAAACAATAGCACAGCTCTGCAGAGCACACACACAGAGGCAGCTTGTTCACAGGTTTAACCGGCAGGGCAGCCCAAAGGGGACACACAGGCAACTGCACCTAATCACCCTTCCGCAAGTGTGGCAGAGGAAAACGGAAAGAGCAACAAGCTAGAAAGGCATATTGAACGCTTAGGCAGGCTTTCAACATCCTTACCATCTTCATCCATTTAAGGCTTGTCAGGACTCTGTTGTGTAGAGCACGGTTGCTCCAAGAAATCACCCTGGCTTTCTGGGCTCTGGCTGCTTCCCAGCTCTAGCTAGCCTGGTGTCAGAAGGCACAACCCTGCCACCCAACAGCCGGGGCATTCAAAGCCTAGGCACCTGTCGTGGTTTAACCCCAGCTGGCAACTAAGCACCACAGAGCAGCTCGCTCATGCCTCCCTCCCCCGGTGGGATGGGGGAGAGAGTCGGAAGAGTAAAAGGGAGAAAACTCGTGGGTTGAGATAAAGACAGTTTAATAGGTAAAGCAAAAGCCACACATGCAAGCAAAACAAGGAATTCATTCACTGTATCCCATTGGCAGGCAGGTGTTCTGCCATCTCCAGGAAAGCAGGGCTCCATCATGTGTAACAGTTACTTGGGAAGAAAAAAATGCCATCACTCTGAACATCCCCCCCTTCCTTCTTCTTCCCCCAGCTTTATATGCCGAGCATGACATCATACGGTATGGAATATCCCTTTGGTCAGCTGGGGTCAGCTGTCCCAGCTGCGTCCCCTCCCAGCTTCTTGTGCACACCCAGCCCATTCGCTGGTGAGGTGGGGCGAGAAGCAGAAAAGGCCTTGACTCTGTGTAAGCACTGCTCAGCAATAACAAAAACATCCCTGTATTATCAGCACTGTTTTCAGCACAAATCCAAAACATAGTCCCATACAAGCTACTATGGAAAAAATTGACTCTGTCCCAGTCAAAACCAGCACAGCACCAAAGCCATGGGCCACTGCCAGAAAGCAGCAGGGCTGTCAGTCTCCCCTTCACACAGGCTTACTCAAGAGGGAGCTGGGGAAAGCCGAACACCAGAGATAAGAGCACAGGTCTTCGATTCCAGTCTCAGAATGAATCATGCAGGCTTCTTCCACTGTCAGACACCATCGGTCATCTATCCCATCCCTCTGTCCGAGACTCAAGCTAGATCCTTCCCCCAGCATTTACTAGCATCTAGCCTGCACATGAAAATAGACTGAAAAAGCCAGGAGGGGGCTCTCACTCCCCCAGTCACTTCAGATTCTGAAACTAATGCATAGTCCACAGCCCCAGGCAAGTCGCTGCATGCAATCACACAGGCCTCTTTGCTGCAAACAACAGCTAGCAAGTAGGGCAATTCCCAAAAGAGCACTGCTCTCCTTCCCCCAAGGCATTTAGAGCCAAGCTGTGTGAACTAGGCCAAGACAGACCTTGCCCAGGCTCTCACATGTTTAGGGGCTTGTGATCCACTAGATGTAGGAGAGTAGTAACATTCAGCTCACAAAGTAGAATGCCATTTGCAACATTTGTGACATTACTATTTTGTTGTCCCTCAAAAAACCCCACCCCACATGGGAAATGGATGTTGCACCAATATCCTCCCAGTAGTACCACCGGGCAATTCCAGTCTGAAGGGGCATTCCTCTAGCAATGCCCATGGGGGAGGCAAAGCAGCAACCTTCCTGTCAGAGACTCGGACTATTACAGCTACACCAACTCTATTTCAGCATACTTTCACATCAGGGGTGGGGAAGGATTTTGACACTGAAAAGGAACAGATATTCCAACCAAAAAACGTCAAGTGGATCTGCTCAGTAACTACTAATCAAGAAAAGGGCAGGTAGAGAGGAGTACAACAATAATCCTGTCTACTCTCCTGCAGTGCAGAAATAAATACTTCAGTTACATGAAGCAGAGGAGCGAGTATCACCTTGCCACATTCTGAATTCCTTCTGAATTCTGAAGGTCCTTTCCTCCACTCTCGTTATTCCTTGTTTTATATCTAACCAAGTTCCTGAAGTCAGAAAGAAATTATCACGAAGAACACAATAGACATCTAGGGACTGGATCTTGCGCAGTTTTCAGTTTGCTTTACTGTGCTCCGCGCTGCCCTGGCATGACGTACATCAAGTGAAGCAGAGCGACACACGTAGTATCACTGAAGCGCAGCCACAAACAAGTGTGTGGGAGGTTTCAGCCAAGACCTTCCTGAAACAGTTTTTCTTAGTGCTCTAGGCAGGTACTTCAGAGGATCCCTGAAATAGAAGGCTCTTGAAGAGCTTTTCCATAAGTTTTGTTCACTGAGGACTGAACAGGAACATCTGTTCAAAGCCCAGCTTCCCCTACCATTCTGCTGGATCTGTACAAGTGATGATTCAGCCACATCAGCTCCAAGGGCTGTGCAGAATAACCCCCAGCACTTCTGTTCTCTCCCTGGTCTGACTGAGGTTCAGATTAAGAACTACAGCTCAAAAGCTGGAGTTTCCTAGAGTAGAGTGACAGCTGGAGGAGAAATACCAAAGGAGGTATGGAATTTCATGGTCCAAAAAGTCACATTTCCCCATCGCAGGGGAATGCCCATCCCCAGACCTCAGCCTCCACATTAGTCAGAGCTGTTTGTTGAGAATCAGCAGCTTGTTTAAAGCTGTAACTTTACACACCAGCTAGCCAACGTTTCAGTTTCTCCTTCAGCTCCAGCCAGCCCAGAGAGCAAGCTACATTCACACCACATTTGGCAAGGAACCCAGCCAACAGCTGCTCACAGTCACCACAGCCACTTGTACAAAGCTCATATCAGCTACACCAGGAACAGGCACCTTCCCCCTGTCCCCAGATTTCACCACCAGGCCCCATCCATAACTTCCTCAATCACCGGCTTTCTGTAACCACCTAGCAGGAGGGCTGGCTTAGGAGAAGCGGGCACAGCTGTGCAGTGGTATAGATATACAGTTATGTGGCAAAGGACAGGGTTACCCACAACTGGTACCAGAAACCTGCATAACAGGACAGAAGCAGGCAGGGACCCCACAGTTGTGACTTGCTCCCACTGCGTGAGTGTGGCTCCCAGTTCAGCTATCAAACAGCTGGAGGCCTGACTGGGCACTGCCCTGGCCAGGGAACCTATAGCCAGGACAGGCTGTTGCAATGCACTTAAGTAGCTCAAAAGTTACTCCCTTTACACTACTAAGCCTACTGGAGCTCTGGAAGCATACACTGTGAAACTGCATTCCTGACAAAGAGATCCACTTCAAAATGTTAAACCACTTGCCTTTAAGTTCAAACTGTAGTACAGGAACTGTCAGATACTCAAGTTTGCTCTTGGGGAAAGAGGACAGCTCTTCCATGGAGAGTTTTACATACATGCTGAAAGGATGGAGCAAGACGACACAACAAGGGAGGCCAGTCAGAAAAGCAATCACTCAGGCTGGTAACCCCTCAAGGCACCAATGATGGCAACATGGCAGTAACCACTGCTACTATATGCCCAAATAGTAGTCTGCAGCAGGATCAAGAGGAGGTGTGGTCAAAAAGCCTTTCAGGAATTTCTTTTTACTGTTCCCACTACCCAAAAATAAAGCCTGCATACCAAACAGAGCCTCATAATCCTTGAGAAAGTAGCACTACTGAGGCTGGCAAATACAGAAGAAGCAAACTGTACAGCAAAGCTGCTGAGCTGAGGCAGAAGAAAGGAGAATCCAGTTATACCTGCTAACAGTACAGCCCAGTTTGGAAGAAAGAATTTCCAGGTGTCTCCTGTTCCCTCAAACCAAGACCAAGGAAAACACGCACAGTAAGAAACACTTACCGTTTCTTTCTGGAAGTAGATGACCAGTCCAGCAGCAACCTGAGTTATGAGGATTACCATCAGGCAGGTGAAGTACTGGAAACAAAAGAGAATAGATGACCACTATCAGCCTTTATGAAGGTCTGTACATAACAGCACAAATTTAATAAGATTTCATGTACAGGAGCAGTCACAACATTGAGCCAACACCTTTGCCTGCAGACAAGCTCTGCTATCAACAATGCTCTCCCCAGTAAAAGGCTTAAGTACAAGCATCTACATCAGACCAGTGCACTTCAGGACTTCTCCCATCAGGCCAACAGGAAGACTTCAGGAGGGAGAGGGTTTACAAGCACCCTCTGCATGTGTCATTCCAGCTGGGACTCTCTCCCACCCCCAGCTCCATTCCCAGTCCACTCTGGCCTCAATCAGTCGGACTCTGCCTACCCCAAGCCTCCATGGCAAGAAAAGCCAATTTTACAAACCTAATTAATTTTTAAAATTATTTTTAAAGTCAGTTTCCTTTTTAAAAAATGCTATTTAATTTGTTTAAGGATCTAAACTTAAGATTCACCAGCAAACTACTTTTAAGTAAACTTTGACATCTGAGGTTACTTTTAAATGGTGGCAGCTACTACCATTACATTAGGAGATGTTCCTAATGCCAGGACACACAATGCAGAAGTACCATCCCCAGGAGACCTGAGCCCCAGCTACAATCCAACAGATATTTTGCAGGAGAGGTATTAAAGGGCGGATTTAAAACATAGCATGAATTCTCTCACCAGACCCAAGAGACATCGGATCTCATTGACTGCTCCAAGACAGCCCAGAAACCCCATCAGCATGGTGAGAGCCCCAACACCGATGAGGACGTATGCAGCAGTCTTCAGGGAGGGAGAGGACATCTCTGTAGGGGCCAGGAGAGGGAACAAAATTAGCTACTGACAAAAACTACATCTGCCATCAGCATTTAGAGAACTGCCTCCATATCTACTTATAATAGTCTGTTGTCTCCTACAAAGCAACTGCACAGAGGCATGATGAACATGGGGACAGAAGACTGCTTCTGGGTGTCTTCTGATGAAGGAATACTTTCAAAGCCAACCTGCAGGTCTCCATTATCTCAGACTCAGAGTCGTTCCAAACAAATGAACTGTGTTTGGAGAAAGTTATCTGCTATTGTGTCTGGAGTGACTGTGCTCTTGAACACTCAACTGTTTTTCAACCAAGTGTAGGTAGTATTATTTCAGACATGCTAGTGCTGTCAGGCCTCACTCCTCAACATTTAGTACTGCGAGCAACAGAAGAAACAAGCTCTTATATTTGGGTTGGTTACAGGACTATTTCTTGCAGAACAGGATTGGAGAGAGGAAGCATTATAGCATAAAAGTTGAAGAGATACTGTCTTGAAACAGTAACCAGAAACCTCATTTATCATTAAGAGACATTCTTAAATCTGCAAGCTACACAGTGTAGGGGAATTCTGGATGTCCAGTGATTAATGAAAATAATGTTCCTAGAGCTCAGCATTTAGCTTCCTGGACAGAAGTTGCAGGAGGCAAGCTTCCGCTCGACTCCTCCTGAAATAGGTTAAGAGAGAGTAACCAAATCCAGAGTAATACTCTCCCTGCTAACACATACCTCCCCCCACTTCTGATATCTGGTGCAAGTCACCAGCTTCCAAACTTTTTCCCTGGAACATGTCGAACAGAGGAAAACGACCAGTTATCAAAAAATGAACCAGAGCTGTTTGCCACACAAGTCACTTCAGACACTTCAGCCTTGATTCATTTCCAGGCCAGACTCCCTGGCTGGACATACACCACAGAAACCAGGATCCTGCTCCTCCTTCCTCACCAGTCCTGGGACTCTTGCTGTGCAGGTTAGGTGCTGATACTGCAAAGCATTTACTGAAGTCGCAGCCTTACAGGAGTGCCCTCACAGACTCCACTATTCCCTCCCTCCAAATTTGCTCAGCGATCATACAAGCATTCAAGTGCCCAGGTTGCAGCGCCTCCACAGTGCTAGAAAGCAGTTGCTTAGTCAACTTCTCATTAGAAGAAAGAAAAAGGTATCTCCAACTCAAAAGCCCTTCAGAGAAGTGACAGTGGAAAAGAGGGACAGGAGCCACATTTGCACTTATCTGCAATACGTCTTCGTCTTGCAAGAGAAGGCTCTGCTGGCAAGATGACTCCTGCTCTGTTTGCTGTCACTCCGTGTTTTCCCCTGCGCTGGGCAGGCGGCCAAGCAAGTACAACAGGCTCCTTTAGCAGCAGCTGGAGTGCCCTGCTGGGAAAGAGGGGCAAGGCTTGGGAAAGGAAGCGAGGGGGCAGGAGAAAGAGCTGATGCTGGAAATCCCCAGGAAGGAAGCTAAATCCTTAAATGCTCTGTTAGCAGAGATTCTGGGTAAAATGGGAAGAAGCAGAGCCAAGCTCAGGGGCTTCGTACCTCCACAAGTGGCAGTAACACCCATCAGCCTGGGGGAACAAGCTGCTGGCCCACTGGTACCAAACACACCGCAGACCATGAGGGGTGCTGCAAACAGCCAGGCCCTGAGAAGCTCCGTTTTGGCTGCCTGTATTAAAAGTGCATTTCTGCTCATGCCCCCACTTTATTAACCAACACCCTTTGTTGTGCTTCTTGCCCTTCTAGTACTGCAGTAGCAAGCCAGATGCCACAGCACAACAAACAGAGCAAGCAGCAGTATCCGTGTGTATGGCATTAGTGGGGGTGCTGTCTCCACCCAGCACCTTCCAAAGCCAGGACAGAGTGTTCATTACCACTTGGGAGATAAATCCCTTTGCAGGATTAGTGTAGTTAGAAACAGGGCTATGAATGCCATTACTGTTCACTCCCTGGGGCTGCAGGCAGCATGCAGGCAGCCCTCCTGCAGCATCTGACACTGGTGCCAGAGTCAGCAATTCTAGAGGTAGTGGCAATGGGTAACCAGACCCGTCAAGCAGAAAAGTTGTTTGAAGCCCCCTCTAGGAAGAAGCCCAAAGGAAGCAGAGCCTGTGAAAGATGAAGCTGAGCTACTTATTTGGTGAGAGTCCACTTACAGCCCTGCAAAGCCCAGGCTCTGCTAAGCCAGCTCAGTTTTTTGGTTGTTGCAGAAAGCAGAGCCACTGTTAAGACTCAAGTCGATGCTCTTGGCTGACTTAAAGGGGAAGGAAGCTAGCCTCTCACATGTGCAGCAACACAAAACACCTCTGATGGCCAGGCTAAGTCTCGTGAAGTGTGTGTAACTGAGTCAAAGCACTAAAGACTTCACAGACCCACACTTTCCATCCCCCCTCGGATCTACATCCCCTACTGCTTAGGAGCAAACATATTGGCCACTTTCAATGTACATGAAGTATCAATAAAACCACGTGCTTTCTTTCTTTGGCATTTAAAACACTCAAATTGAAACAGATCATTACAGAATGCAGTGGGAGCATAGGAGACTCACATAGCAAAACTACATCAAGGCATTGGGGGCCTTCAGAGACGATGGTAATAAGGAAGCTGTTATGGAAACAGAGCATGCAGTGAAAATAGGATGAAATACTAGTCCCTGTATTTAAGATGAGGTATTTGGATTGTTGGGTCAAGAGGCAATGGCCTCACTCGGTCTGACCCTGGTGTTGCAATCCACAAGACTAGGAGGAATGCTGTGTTCCAGGGTTGCTCCCTTTCACCCTGTCCCTAATAGAGTCTCATCTTGCCATACACCATGTTACTGCTCAGGTCACAGACCATGCATAAACGTATTGCCATGCCTAGACTACACCATAGTCAAGCACAGCCTTGGACTAGAGTCAATTAAGAAGGAGAAAGAAGATGAAGAAACATGGTCTTACGTAGAACCGCAATGAAACTGGTTTTGTCGGCCAGAATCCATATTCCAAAACCCAGGATCACAGCACCCAGGATCTGAAAGAGTAAGAACAAAACACATATAGCTAGCTTATTAGTTTAGACAAATAAGAAGAGGCAGTCACCATCCTCCATACTTACAGAGCAAAAACAACCATTCTTTTGCTGTTCCCACCCATCTTCCCCATGGTACTCCTCCCAAAGTAAACAGGATTAGCATGACTCCAGGAAGAGTGCCTCAGCCAACTGCATCTGAGCCCCAGGTTCTGCTTGGCAGTCCTTCACACGGTATTTTAGTAGTACATGATGTTGTATAGGAGGACCGTTCAAAATGGTCTGAGAAAGAGACACCCTGCTGCTAGAACCTTGTTGTCAGAAGCAAAAGGTAAGTGCACTGCTTCTGTGAAGAACTAAGGACAAACACGTCTAGCATATGATTTTGAAGATTTTTTTTGATTAAAGAAATCCTTGACCCTATGGGACCAGACTGGGAGCCAGCTGCCAAAGGATTAGATATCTGGCAGCTGGAACCTTCCCAGGAAGGAAATCTTCAGCTTGTCAGGCTCTATAACATTACGGCTTCAACCCACAAATGCAAAAAACCAGCAGCATTCACTTTGCATGCAGTTTCCCTTGAGTGAAGTGCTTTGCCCCTTCCAAAGCCAAGCTTAGGCATTCTGCCTTGGCCACTACTTTACGCCAGAATACCCCAGCCCCTCAAGCCAACGCACCTTACCACCAGAGTCAAGCGTTACGAAACATTAGCCACGGTCTCTGCCTTGCTCACCACACAGTCTTATCTAGGGCAAGGATTAGCAGAGCAATACATCCCTATGAGGACTCAGCTGAATCCAGACATTGAATTGAGAAGGCAAGAGACATACAGTTTTCCCATCTCATTCTTAAGGGCAGGGTGGGGGTGTAAAGCAGGGAAGCATGCTCTGGTTTAGCTTCCAGGTATTGCCATGTTTTATGCTACGCTGTGAGGTGTTTGCATGTAGATGACCCCAGCTTCCACATTAGGATGAATGCACGATTATATCCATAATAAAGTAACTATGCTTGTATGTCTGCAGGTCTCATGAGAAGCTGAAACTTGTGCTGTTCAGCCAACTAGAAGTGGCAAAGGCTGGAACCACTTGTGCAAAGATCTAAAACAGACTTTGAAGAAACAAGGGAAGGACAAGGAGTGCAAGTGAGATGCTTCCAGAGGACATTAACTGCGAGCAGCAGTTCTTACACCAGCAGGATTTCAAGATAGGGATAAGTGAAATACTAAATAAACCAACAGGGCTGAAGAGAGATTGCAATTCTGTGCTTCATTAGAGAATGTTCTGATATTTGGGAGACAAGGGAAATGCCAAACCACCACCTGAAGCAAGCTGGTAGAGAGGGTTGTATGGACAGGCATTGGCTCCACATTTTGAAAGTTTACACTATGCTTCAGCTCCTCATACAAAGAAGCTTTTCTGAGCAAAGATAAAGCAACAGTCTGAAATAAGCTGCTTGAAAGCTTTCCCGGCTTGGCAGAGGGCACAATATGTAGCTAGCTCTGGGGACAGGATTAGAAAGTCACCAAGCAAGTTCCCATCCATGAAGATGGATGAAGAAGACTGACTCAGCCGCAGAAAGCACATAGCTGTTGTATCCCAGGAAAAAAAAAAAAAAAAAAAAAGGAAAAGATGGCAGGTAAA